CTCAAGTTGCTTGAAAGGCAAGATACTGGAAATGGTGCCTTAAGGCGTATAATGTGGTGCCTTGCTAAAGGTACCTTTGTGATGCATGGAAGTGACACTATTTAGGAATCCAATATATTCCATGAGCAAGTGCATGGTAGAAAATATGAAAAACAAGATATAAATCTAGTAAGCAAAGTGATAATTGCTTATCATTTAAACCATATTGCGTAGTTTTATTCCATGTATGTTTACATAGAACACTATATTGTAAATTACTATAGAACACTGAATTGGGATGATCCACATCTGAAGAATTTCAGCACTGGACTCACGCCCGTATAGTATACCTTGGCAACATTAAGATGCCTGGATTTCAACTTCTGAAGAAAATTACATGCATGAAATTCAATTCCTGAGTTCTGAGGGTTGAAGTCTACACATCTTAAATTTACTAAAAATAATAATTTGATATATTAGTCATAGGACCCATCCACATTCAGATTCCTCAACAGCCTGATGCTCCATCGGGGAAGTGTTGAATGAAAGATTGGACAGCCATTTGTCTGGGAAGCCAACAATGGAGAATCTTGCCCTAGGCAGAAGGTTGGACTAGAAAAATTCCAACCTTCCAATCCTATAAGTTTAAAATAATAGTTTTTTAAAAAGGAACAATATGTTGTTTAGTTAACTAGGACATATTTAAAAACCATTTTAATTAACATATTTAATCAACAATATGTTGAAGTCCTAGGTTCCAGATTGTAATGAAATATACAGAAAAGATGGGACAGGGAAAACCAGGACTTCATTCATGGAAAATCTGAAAGGACAATCGGGTTCTAACAGATGCCTAGAAGATGCATCAGTGGGCACTTTACAAAGTTCAGGGAGGAGAGTTTTCTAGAGTACAGGTCTGTCTGTGCCCAACCACAAGATGAATGGAATAGAATAGAATAGAATAGAATAGAATAGAATAGAATAGNATGTTGAAAGGATGTAATAATAGCTAGGCTTAATGGATGTTTAATAATTATAACAATTTGTATACATGTATATTAGATTGATGATACTAATAATGTGGGGAAAACATGGAATTGAACATTATTAGACAATGTTATCTATGCTAAAATAATAGAATGGCTTAGAATAGGAGGAAGCATAATAACAATGTATACAAAGATATCTTGATTGTCAATAGGTGAATTTTGATAGAATTCAAGTGATGACTATGGAAAGGACACAGAAAGACCTTGTAACCAATCGACACACTGTGTGTAGTTGAAGAGACTTTTATGTTATATTGTGTTGTGTGTTTGTGTTTGCCTGAAAATAAAAAAATATATTAAAAAAAAGATCGTTCAGTTGAGTGATTTAACAAAACTTCTAGATTTTACAATATATCCATCAGGTACAATATTTGACTGATTGAGGAAACCATTGCCTATCTCATTCAATCCAGTACAACTCTTCTTGCAACACCTGTGAGAATTTGGAGAGTGAAGTTGAAAGATCTATCAGTCATAGACCTGAACTAAAAAGTGTTTCTTTACACAATTAGTTATGAAAATCATAATGCATATTGGATGCTTAGTAAGATTTTAAAAGCCACCTAAGCATTTGGGCAATCCTACATAGCTTATACATCTCGATGCAATCTTACCATTTGCTGCCTATGAAATAGAGGCTCTATATTGTAACATGTCCTTGCCAAATGGTAAGTGGAACCAACAGTTGCCCTTTGGACTACTGTATACATGCCCTGTGGATGACTCCTTGATATTTTCTGCTTGTGCTTTATTCCAGCTGCTGATACATTCTTCAATTTCTTTAGTCTTATCCCCAGAAGGGAACTATAATGAAGTAGAATTAAGAAAAAGAATTGCCATAAGGAGAGATTGACAATCTAAGATAAGAAAATAGATGGTTAGGAAGCAACTGGTTACTATGAATGAATTTCAGTCTTTAGGACCAAATCAGTGATATCCAAAAGTCTTGAGGTAGCTTGCAGATATTGTCTTACAGCTTTTTTCTGTGTTCTCTGAAAATAAATGAACAATGGGCATGATATTTGAGAAAAAGAAAAGTTCCTATCTTGAAAAGGAAGAAAGAAATGACTGGGTAATGACACACTCATTAGCTTGACCGATACCAGGCAAAACTCTGGAATAGTTTATTTGTCATGCCAAAGTAGCCTTGTATCAAAATAGAGCAAAGCAGGAAAATCAACTCTACAGAACTAAAATCTAGTTTTATTGAGTTTAATTATAATAATAGAATATTAAAGGTAAAGATTAAGGTTCCCCTTGCACATATGTGCTAGTTGTTCTGAACTCTAGGGGGCACATCTCCGTTTCAAAGCCAAAGAGCCAGCACTGTCCGAAGATGCCTCCGTGGTCATGTGGCTGGCATGACTAAATGCCAAAGGCACACAGAATGCTGTTACCTTCCTACCAAAGGTTCCTATTTTTATACTTGCATTTTTACGTGGTTTTGAACTGCTAGGTTGGGAGAAGCAGGTACAAGTAATGGGAGCTCACTCTGTTATGCAGCACTATGGATTAGAACCGCCAAACTGCCAACCTTTCTGATCAACAAGCTCAGCATCTTAGCCACTGAGCCACTGTGTCCTTTTAATAGAATATTAGGAGTCCAATTATGCTGTACCACTTCCCTCTTCTTATACCCCAGAGAAATAGGGAGGCATTTATCTAAGCCACATCCGAATATTATATTGTTGCTCTGGACTTTTAAAATGCCTGATTGTCTTTTATCTCAGTAACAGTTCTTGACATATTTCTGTGAAGGTTACCTTCCTAACTTTCCATACTTGATCTCCCATTTTGATAGAATGACCGGTTTAATTGGCCATAGGAGTACTATAGTGAGAGTATACCTTTACTTCAGCAAAGCAATCAACAAAGTTTCACATGAAACTAATAGAGAAGGTAGTATAGTATGGGCTGAATTATGTTATCATTAAATGGATACAGAGCTAATTGGACCATTGAATCCAACGGGTATACATTGGTTGTGCCTTAAGTTGGAAAGATGTGATGAGGGCTTGTAAAAGGAAAGGAAGAGGGCCCTGATAGAGATGAGCCAGATGGTTTATATGTCATTTTTATTAGTTTGTCCACAGAGTAAAGAGATACAAATTTTGATTAAAGAGAAAGACAAAAAAACCAATAGAAAAGTAGAAAAGAAGGAAAAAGAAAAAAAAGAGATAGACTAAAGACATTACCACAGTGACAAAGTGGTCTGGTCCACCTGGTAGGGTGACAATGGTTTACAATGTAAACCTCTTTTCTGGGCCCTGTACTGTTCAAATATGTATACGTGAAGTTTGAATAAGGGATCAAAAATAAGATTTATCACATTAATGGACAAGACAGGACAGAGAGCAGCAAGAGAACAATTTCAAGACTGAAAATGCTCTTAGAAGCTGGACATTGGGTAGGAAAAAAGGTGAATTTGATCAGGGACAAAATCAAAATACTGATTGTTATTATTGTAATTGTTCCTTGATTGTTAAGATTGTTATCATATCAGACATTGATTTGAAGGGGGAAGGGAAACATAGTGCATAATGGTTGAAAACAAATCAAGAATAACCCAATAAGCATACTGGTCTGAACTATTCTTCAGCGAGATGCTGCTCCAATGGATATCTTCCATGTTCTGTTGGTGGAAACAAGTCTTTCCTATTTTGTAGCTGTAATGGCAGAATTGTGCAGAATGAAAGTTCGGGGTCTCCTTTGCTAAGTGACTGATATTATCGCATTATCTAAGTAATGATAAACTAAATTAAACCTGGGCAATAATGATGCTTCAATTAAGTGTTCTTTGAGGAGGGACTTTATGGAGTTCAGAAGAAGCAATTTTACAAGAAACAAGAGCCCAAATTTAGTTTCAGACTATTGCTTCCTGAACGAGTCAAGATAAAATGTCAATTGGATTAGTAATTACATTTGAACTGATTATTTCTATAAATGATTGGCATAATTAGCACCTAATGATCAAAAGTTCCCATACGGTACTGGTCAAAATTGTGGAAACCTTTTGGAAAAGTGTATTTTTGAGGCTTGATGGCCAATAACACCACTTGTTTTGGAGTAGTACCATAAAATTATATATCAATGGAAAGAAAATTTAATCAAGAATGCAATGCAACAAAGTTTGTTCAATTATCTGTATTCTGTGAAAAGTTATAGCCAAACATAGCCAGCAATAAAACCCAGTTAATAGACACAATCATTCAATCTTGGTTTCACATTATAAAAGCTCCATGGGAAGACATTGTAATTCATGCTAAAGGTTACCCAACTAAGTATTAACTGACATGGTGATAATTTTTGTATATCTTGTTTTTTTCTATGTGTTTCACTTTTATTCTTTATAACTGCTATTCTAATAGCAAATCCTTCATAAACGTTATTGCATTACATTCTTGATTAAATTATCTTTCCACTGATATATAACGTTATGGTACCTCTCCAAAAAAGTTATTAGCCATCAAACCTCAAAAATACTGTACACTTTCCCCAAAAGATTTCTACAATTTTGGCCACTACTGTGTTTAGATGAGAAGGAGCCTCCTTCACAGCTTGGGAAGACAATCTCTCCCACTCCCGGATTGGCCGTTCACTACACTAAAATGTAGTCCTAAAATGTATCAAGCACAGGATCCTAAAGATGCTTCAGAAGACATCCTGTCTTCTCTGTTTCTCAGCGTGATGGGCTGAGCTTTCATCTCCCAGCTTATCCAGCACCAGAGACGGTCCAACACTCGCGCACTTTTTACAGCGCGGAAAGAGACCGGTCGAACTAGCTGTTGGTTGCCTCTTTCTTCCAGATGCGAGGCGCTGCTAGCTGCCGGCCCCGCCTTCCCCCTTTGCTTCGTTAGGTGATCGGGCGAAGGGTCAGTTTCACCTCACCCTGGCTCTGCAATCCCCGCAGAGAAGCGATTGGACGGGGCCTTCCTGGGAGGGAGAGTGAGCTTCCTCCTGACGCCGTTTCCGGAGGAGAGGGGGCCGAATATATAAGCCAGGTTGCTGCTGCAGTGCTCGGTCGGAGATTGTCGGCAGCCGCTTTCGGGAAGGCAGAGGATCTTGGGACGGGCAAGGACAGCGGATAATCTATTTCGCGACTCGGCGCTCGGTCAAGGTCAGCGCCTATCGCTTCTGACAAGCCAGGACCCACTCCCATCTTTTTGCCCCGCCGACAAAGCCAAGAAGCGCAGCCGGACGGCCCCACCCTTCACCCCGCAGTCCCTTCGGCCAGCGGAATGACTCGCGCGGCGTTTTTCGCAGCCTTCCTCCTGGTAGCCCCAGGTAAGCTCAAGAGGCAGGTGGGAGAACTTGTTCCGAGGCGCTGTCCTCTTTAGGCTGCCCCTTTCAGCACCAAGGACAGAGCCGCCGCGGCCATTGCCCGAATAGCCAATGTACTGGCCGGCGCCATGTGGTAGTGTTCGGCACCTATTCGAACAAGAAGGCCTGCTTTGCGATGATGGTGATGAGGAAGTCAGCGGTAGGAAATCTAGTGACACTTCATTAGACTATTGCCAGTGACAACAAAATCATCCTTGAATGTCAAGTTCCCTTTTACTAGACCCAAATGTGCTTTTTCAAGAGGCAACTTGGACTTTCTGGTTTTTCTTTGAAAACATTTAGCTTCTCATCCTGAAGCTGGTTCTTTAGAGCTGAAGAAGCTTCTTGGATGAGAAGCGAAATGTCTACAAAGAAAAAAAACCAGAAAGACCAGTTGCCTCTTGAAAAAGCACCTTTGGGACAACCATGACCTGGATGACTGAGAATCTCCATAGAATCTCCTTTTTACTCAAACTTTTTAAAGTTCCAAAACAGCAAAGCACAGTTGGCAAAGAGTTTTATTTTAAAAACCAAAAGAAATTGCAATTCTAATCTTCAGTCTTATGAAATGTCCATTCTTCTCAGTTACTGCTCTACTTGTGTCTTTGAATGCCATGTAGTGCATTTACGGACCATGGTTCCATTCACTAGTCAGACTCAACTGATTGCAGATTGAGTCCTCCATAAACTCATCCGCTCAGTTCATCCATTCTTTTTTTTAGTAGCAACTATTTTTTAAATGCAAAAGGTGAGCAAATTTCTGATGCTTGTTTTATATACTAGTGGTCTGGTTTACAGTCTCCTGTGTACCTCTCTACTGATTTTCTTCACACCACAAATCTATTAAACATTCTGATTGGAACTGACAATGAAATATTAAAGTCATTCTTCCTTTTCTGTCTTTCTTAGTCATTTCACTTCCAGTAATAAATCCAACAACTCAAGATGACACCAAGGTGAGTTGGGGGGGGGGGAAGATTTGAAGCAGGAATATTGTTATGTATTATTGGTAGGTATGTACAAATCTATAAATGTATGATCTATCATTTTTACACCTTCTTGAAATAATGGGATTGCTAAGTCTTTTCACACATTAAATTTTCAAGTGTACATAGAAGTTTTGTAGATCTAACTATGAAAAGTAATTGCAATAAATATTTTAAACTCCGTATATAATTGCAAGTGCATCCATGAAGAAATAAAGAATGTGTGCAAATATACAGTTATAAAATCAGGTTTGTGCTGATTTTATAACTGATAGAGTGTCTGAAATGAAACTACAGAGAATTTTTATTTGTTATAATTTTTTGGGTCCTGTTAACATGCATGGCAAATAATACAATGGGGAAATTTGTTTAGCTTTCAGAAACAGTTATAAATGCTTTTCTTAAAAGTATGAAAATTTAATGGATCAGCTTTTCATATATATCCTGTGTAAGTTCATTGTCAGCTAGACTTTACCTGTTGCTTTTTAAAAACTCAAGAGTTGCTGACAGCATATTGAAAATGGTCATTACAAGTCACTAGATACAGAGGAGGCAATATAAATCAAAAGGAAGAGCCAAAGGAAGAATATACATATTTATATTATTCAGGTGGCCTAAAGGAACAGTAAACTACTGATAACTGAAAGCATACATGGTATATGCATAGTGGCGATGAGACATAATTACCGAATCTGGATTTGAAGAATTATTTGCATGAATGATATTTTTTGCCTCTGAACTCCAGTTGGTACTGACATCTTTGGAATGTATTTATTCTTCTTGCCAAGTTATCCATAACATTTCATCTTGGTGCAGTTTTCTGGAGCACATATCAAGATACCTTTGATTGAGAAAACTGTGTATTATGTATGTGATACGCATAAAGTATATCAGACCTGTGTGAATTGAACGACATGGTGCCAATGGAGTGGAGGGTTTTGCTTTTTGGTTTGGTTTGGGTGTGAACTAGATGTTCCCTTTCATGCTTTTAAACTTTCTGGACAGATGGGTTGGGTTCAGAGATTGCATGAAACTATAATGTGATGGGTGGTATAGCTTACCATGATGAACCCAGATGCTGTATTTTGTGTAAGCCATGTTTTATATCTTAACACAATGTGTGAATTCATCTACAGTGGTATATATATATGTGTGTGTGTGTATATATATATATATATACACACACACATATATATGTGTGTGTGTATATAGAGCCA